CTAGGTGAAAGTAAGGCAGATTATCAGCTAAGGCAAAAGGATTCACAACAGGCAGAAACTATAGCTGGTTTTCTTTTAAGTTAGGGAGAAAAGTATACCATGTGCCTGAGAAGACAGTTAACTCATAATTATGCTAAAAAGGAAAAGACAAACATAAGTTGTTTCAAAAGATAGATTTAAATGCATGAATGATGACAAATAAAAGACAGTTATGGGATAATGGTCGGTTGGGGTAAAGACGATGAAGTAAAGGGGTATGATTCAACAGGAAAAGGAAGTTTTGGGTCCAAGACCATGGGCCATGTTGTGAACTGCCACTGGACCAGTCAGTGGAAACTGCAATCACACTGTCTCCCTGAGAAAAAAGGCTTAGCAAACTTTTATCTACTAGATTCCAAGAAGAAGCAATTAATATGCCAAGAAGTTCAAATAAAAAATTTCCTTGTCATACGTCACACACAAAAAAAGAAAGTTTGTTTAAGATGGTACACATTCAACAACAGAGTGCTGGCACCAGGAACTGGAAAGATAATAGGGTAAGATATTCTTGCTGCATAAGAGGCAGCTGAAAGATCATTTATGAACACAGATAACAAGATGCTTGTGTGTAACTATCTGCTCATTTGCTCCCTGACAACTTAAAACAATAACTGTCTCCTTCTGTTAACAAAAATACATAATAGCTTGTTCATTCTGCAAGTATTCAAGGTAAACTAAAGGTAGGACATTGGTGGATAAGGCACCATATGAGTTTACTGCTCATCACTAAGTCCTATCAACAAACTGATGCCATCAATGGACCACAACGATTTGAGCACAAAGTTTATCTGATAGAATCCACTAGTGAAATATTTTTCCATAGCCAGATTTTATCAGTTCAACAGTGCTACTCCATGCCCCTTTTGAGAATAGTTCTAAAGAAACATTATCTACTGGAGAGAAATCTTACAAAGATACTAAGATCATGGTAAAAGTTACTTAAACCAGAATATGGTTATGAACATGATAAAATGGCAACTCTTGATAAAAGGTAATTTTACTTAAGAAGCCAAAGATGTTTGTCTTCTGGAGGGTACATACAAATATCCTTTTCATAGCATAAATTATTTAAGGAGGCCAAAAGGAGAAAAGATTACTTGAAAGAACAAAGAGAACTAACCTTAGTGGGATCAAAGCCAAATCCACCCATTTGCATCATACGCTGTGTATCATCCATAGCTGCATAAAAGACAAGACATCAGATAATGACACCTAAATAGTAATTTCCTTTTTGGTAAAAATCTATAGAATATAATAATTAATTAAACTAAGAACTTGGAAAACTCACTAATAACAACCATGGTTTTGAAAGAAGAAAATCTAACACAAAAATTAAATGATTTGAAATTCATAATCCAACACTAACCATTTTCTTCTCCAAGAATGAGGCTAAATAGTCCCCTCAATCCGAACAAATTGAGGAAATACCTGGTAATAAAAGTAATGATTAGTTATTGGTTTTAATAAACTATTTCAAAAAGTCAGAAAAAGGCTTCTTCTATCCACAATTAGACACTACCATGAGCGACTACTAACATAGCTAACATCAACAGAGCTCAGGTCAATTCCATTCTGCAACATTGATCTGAACCTCTGAGTGAGTGGAAAGGGTATCTTAGCTGCAAGTGGAGGAAGGAAAAAAATAGGAAAGGTAGTTATATTATCATGGCAAGATATGTAACTCATCATAGATCTACAAAAGGCAATCAGTCTAGTTGGAAAAGTGGAAAGAGGATTTCTTTAACAAAGTTTTGAACATCCTAAACTAAGCATAGAAAATTCAATAGTTTCAAGTAAAAACAGAAGAATCAAATCAACTTTTAAAACATACATAAATCCATATCTCAAAAGCAGCTTGAAAGAGGCAAAAAAACCCCAAAATTGTGAAACTAACAAAGTGAAAAAGAAACGAACCTGCAACAAATCCAGAGAAGAAAAAGTTGACCCATGCAAATGTGAGAGTCTGGCAGTCACAAAAGGGTCCAGACAAAACCATTAGTTCTCTAAATGGTAATCAAAGAAGCTAAACCAAAACAAATTATATTAATGATCAAGCACAATAAATCACCTGAGGAATGATCATGGACAGGTTTTTCTTCATCATGTCCATAGCCATGTTAGGATCAGAGAACATGGCTGCTTGTGCATTTTGAGCCTGTCCTTTAGGAACATGAAGTAGCCCATTTTCCTGCCACATTATAACATAAATTTCTTAACCACCACTCGTCATGGACAGCTCAATATATCTTTACCCTCTTCAATTTGGTCTCAACTCACATGGCACGAAATACTTAAATTTTACAAATGTGACCAACAACACACTAAATTAGACTAGCTATTTCTTTTGCACCAAACTCAAGTTAACTAAATCATTGAGCTATTAATCTCAAGAATAAGCATAAAAAGCTCAGTAATCAAACCTCGTTGCTGAAATAAACCCTACGAGATCGAAACGATTTAGGAGGAATAAAATTAGCACCGGCACGCAAATTCCGAGCCCTAACAATCACTTGCCTGCGGAGAAATCAATCACCAGAGCAAAATTAACAAAGAAAGAAATTAAATTGATCGAATTGCAACCTACGCACATACATATGGAATCATGAATATACACGTTGTGGTGTATGGAGGAGACGTACCCTTCTTTGACGATCTTAACATCTGGAGTTTGAGAGGAGCGCATGAGCTTGGAGACGAAGTAGCGGAGGACGCCGATGAGAACCATCACCACTGATAACGGTATCAGCACCCAATCTCTGATCGCCGTGTCGAGCACCAGATCTTCCGCCATGGTTCTGTATCCGCTGTTGTTCGTCCGATCTTGCTCTTCGGTTTCTCGTTATTCGTTTTCACAGTAAAGTCTAGGGGTACAATTCGTAAGGCGAAACCCCTAATGACATTGCCCCTGTACTTTATTTTCATCTGGAAAATGCACCCTAAGGAATTTTTAATAAAGTTTGCACCCTCAACTTTCAAAGCTTTATTTAATAAATAATCGGTAATATCACGCATAATTTTAAATATATAATTATGATATGATATTAAATAAATGTAATATTTTATTAAATAAATATATATAATATTATATATAAATTTTTAAATAAAAAAATTAATTATATAATGGTATATTATATTGTAAATTAAAAATTTAAAACATCATTCTTCTCTTCTTTTTTTTTTTTTTCTTTTGATCTTGGTTATACAATAAGAGACAACTATCTCATGTCCTATATCACATCCCACTCGCATATCATGCGGGTTAAATTCAAGATCTTTTACTTTTAATAGAAGAAAATGACTACTAAACTATTTAGTTCTTTGACATCATTCTCCCCGTTATCTTTATGTCATCCTCCTTTTATTTTTTGAACAAAGTTACAATTATGGAGGAGGGGGAAATTGAACCCCAGCCCTTGAGCTGGTTGATGCCCCTCACTTTACAAGCCGACCTATGATCGTTGGGCCGTGAGTACCAAGTGCGTCATCCTCTTTCTATTTGGCGGAAAAACCGCCCATTGTTTTATTTACTATGCTTAAATTAAACTTAGAAAATTTTACTGCGGTTGTATAGTTATTTTTTTTACTTTGTCAACTATAAAGACTTTATCCCTAACTCAAGTAAATTATTGAATTGTTAGAATTTTTTTTTTATTTTGTCATTTCATGTGATTGGGTTTTTGATATTTTCTCTCTCTCACCTAAATATCATTTTTAAATTGGGTGAAAAAAAATGCAAATTTGCCAAAACTCCATCGAACGGCCCCTACGTGCAGTTGTCCATTTCAATTTCAAAGCTTGAAATGTAGGGCAATGAATTGCCTAATTTATGGATCTTTCACATATACGACGAGTATATATTTGTTTTATTAATGCATATTTGTTCTATTAATGCATAATTACACCTTAGATGTGAACCTAACATGAATTAAAATAAATTCCTGCATTTACACTCAATCAAGCTGCGGGCCCTTTTGGGTTTAATTTAACTAATCACATCTTTCCCAAAATGTTTAGTCTTATATCAATCATTGAATCACAACAAAAAGGCATAAGAATTTCCACACCTCCAAGAAATTGATAAGATGTGTATTTCTGAAATTGAAAATGATTTGCATTTTGACAACTTGTTCAAGAAGACAATACATATAAATTAGTTTTTCTTTGATAATGATTCTTAATATTTTAATTTTTAATTTTTATATTTTTTTATTATTTTAAAAATATATAAAATATTAATTAAAATAAATATCAAATACATTATATATATTTTTAAATATATAAAATATTTTTAAATATAAAAAAAACAACTATAAACCTAATCAATGACTTGTTATTCCGAATTGAAGAAATTCAATTGATTTTAAATAAAATTTTGAGTTTGAGTATTGTGAATAAAATAATAAATATTGAAAGAGTTTTTCTTTTATGTGATCTAACGTAATTTAATTTTAAATTAATCAAGATATAATGTAATTTTTGGATATTGAAAATTTAATTGGAAAAAAAAATATTGTTTTTTAAATATTAATTGTATAAAATTTTTTATTCTTATATACGTGTAATGGGATCCTAAGTCCAACATATATATATATATATATATATATGAAAAAATTATTGTATTTCATACATCAAAGTATTGTCTCCTTTGCCAGTGAGGCATCTGGTGTTGTTCAAATTGAAAGGGTTGAGGCGTCGTACGTGACATATATTTAAGTTGTGGGTGTACTCTAGTGTATGGCTTTTAACGATCACAAATTCAGAAAGAAAGAATCTATGCATTCTCCAGGCAACAAACGGCATGATGTATACAGGATCAATACTCCCACATTTTTATTCATCAGGGAAAAAGAAAAAAAAAAAAAAAGAAAAAAGATCAATACTCCCACTTGACGTACTATGTATTGCCGTAACACACTCCCAATTGGTCCAACCATAACTTTATCAAATATTGCCAATAAAT